ATATTGTTTTTGAAAATTTTATTAAAACCAATTCACCCCCTCTTGGTTTATTCAAAGTCTTTGAGCTAACAAAAATAAATATAATATTAATTGATCCTCTCAAAATAAAATGTCAAGATCTGTCACTATATGAATTTGAGTTTGTCTTAATCTAATTTAATTAAAAAAATAAAGAACTTAAATGCATATAATATGAACTTGCAATGATCTAAACTTGAAATGATTCAAACTTGAACAAGTTGAAAGATTACCAAAAAGAATACCCAAACTTATATTGAATATAATTATATTTTTAAAAATATTAATTCAATAAAATTGTAAGAAATATAGCACAAATTACTAATATTGTAATATTTAATAACTTTAGAGTCTTTTTTTTTTACTTTTTATTTTTATATAACTTTAAATATTGTCTTTCTTATGACTAGAAAAATGTAAAAAAAAAATCTATTATTTTAATTAAATTCAATTTCTAAGTTGTTAATGTAATAACTATAATTGTGATTATAGGAATTATCATTAAATATGATCACAATACAATTACGATCTTTAGCTTGATTCTTACATAAATTAGTGAAACTTTCTTGTATATATAGAACACTCATCGTACAAACCTTTTCATGTTTTAAAATACAAGAATTCATTTTTTTGTAACATGGTATTAGAGCTCAAATTTATTCTTTTATTTTTGTCTTTTTCTTTTGCTTATTATTTCTTCTAGCTTATCACATTGTAGGCTTTTTTGTTTTTGACTACACGTGATGGAAACCTATTAAATGTTGTTATCTCACATTTATTAAATCTTGAGTTGCTTATAATTTTATATTCAAATTAGGCCTCTCTACTTATTATTCGTGTAAGCCTTGCAAGCCAATCATGATAGGTTGTAAGAACACTTATTAATTATTAATTTAATGAAATATACAGTATTTTTTATGAGGTATTTTTATCCAAAGTTTTGATTGAATAATTTGTTAGTAATAATTTATGTAGATAAAAAAACCCTTGTAATCATAGGCTTTATAAAGGCATTATTAAAAGTTATAATTATAAGATCATTATGCATCAAAGCCTTGTTTCTAAAGATGTTCATGGTCACTATATTGTTGAGAACAAGGATATCAATAATGCTTAAAGACTGATAGATGCTAAGCTTCCTTATTTATGAAGTAAGTAACTGATTAAAAATTTAAATATAAAGATATTTGGGGATAGCATGTGGGTGCTTGTTAAGAAATAAATTCAATGAACACAACCTACTTTAAAAGTTCTATATATTTCACCTAATGTATATGGAATATACTCTCATATGTTACTAGTGTAAGTAATCTTTTGACTTGTGATATTAGGTCACCTTGTATGTGAATTTTTATGCTTTGGTTGTATCTATATGGGTTAAGATGCTTGGTGCCTAAAAAAGGTATTTTTGGGTATGGCATAAAGCATACAAAAATGGATAAGTGATCAAAGAGAATTCATTACCCTAAGGGGCCATTTGATTTGGGAGAATCCATAAATTTTCACTTGAAATCTTATTGGTAGGTATTTGATTTTAACGTTTGGTTCATGGTAATCTGATTATGAGGGAAAGTGACTGATTTCTAACAGTACTTGAAGTTTTGGAATCAGAAACCCACCTTTTTCCTTATGGTACTCTAGGATTCCATGAGGGAAAGCTGTATTATTTTTAAATTTGACCAAAATAAAAATATATGAAATAGTTATTAACATTTTCAAAAGCATGTCTAAAAGTAACTACAAGTAGTTGTAAGTTTCTGCTACTAATTCTTTTGTATTGAAATTAATGGTATTTTGCATAAAAAAATGCCTTAAATAAACCATTATTCAAATAAATATTGGATTGAAAAGATGCTTTAAATGATGATCATTTAAGGCATTTGGGTTGAAGAAACGTCTTAAATAATTCCTTAAAAAAAAATTATTTTAGGCATTTTTTGCCAAAAACACCTTAAATAATTGATCAAGATTAAATAATTTCTTTTAAAAGATATAATATGATTATTTAAGGCATTTTTCAACTAGAAACACCTTAAATAATCTCCTTAAAAAATAAAATAGGATTATTTAAGGTGTTTTTGTTGAAAAACACCTTAAATTCCCTTCCAAGTTCCAAATGATTGAAAAAAAAAAACTTTTTTAAAACATTTTTATTGGAAAACACCTTTAAAAAGTTTTTCGACCAAAAACCATATGAATGCAAAAAAAAAAAAGCTTTTTTAAAGCGTTTCTGTTGGAAAACGCCTTAAAAAAATTTTCTTCCAGGTTCTAAATGTTTCACACTAAAAAAATTTGAACGAATAAGGGTGGTTATAATTGGATCAGATCAAGTTTTTAATTTAGTATATACATTAAAATAGATTATGATAATTATTTAGAAATTAAAATATGTGGATTTTGCTCAACCAAACAAGTAAATTTGAATACGAAATGCCTTGAAAATAGAAGAAAATCCCATGTATCATATTTTCTCAAAAATCACACTTTCTTTCGAAATTAAAAATTTCAGGAACTAAACGTTTCCTAAGTGATTAGGGGGAACTCGTTTGTTTCTTGCTAATATTAACCAAAAAGTCTTATGCTAAAGCAGATATAATCCGAAGGGTTAACATAGAAGCTATAAGACTAATATGGAAAGATAAGAAAGTAGACACTACCCTATTTTCAAATTAAAAAAAAAAAAGCAAGATTTATATAAGTTACTAGCTTTTTTAACCTGTACAATGCACATGATTTTTTATTAAATTTTAAATAATTTTAAATATATTTTTTAATTATTGATCTAATATATAATCATACATTTATAAATGTTAAGCTACAATTAAATGACAATTTATACATACCTTATTATAAATGATATTGTTCATCTAAAAGAAGTTTAAACTTTTGTAAATTTTCAAGAATTATAAAAGTCGTTTCTTTTTCATAAAAAAATATTTTTTTCAATTCATTTGCTAAATACTAAAAATTTTATTACTGTTTTTTTCTTGTTTGATAAAAAATCAAGGGTCAATATTTAAATAGTTAAAATTAATAATTGTTTTATCATAATATTGATTGGGTGTGTATATATATATATATATTTAATTGAACAACAAATCACAATTATTATTTTGGTCACAACCATTCGCTTTTTATTAGTTTTTTTTTTTTTGACATACTTTAAGTAATTATTACACAAATATATTAGGTTAACAATTATTTCTATATATATCAACAAAATAAAGTTATTTTTTAGATAAAAGGGAAACAATGATTCTTTATGTTATGCTTAAAAACTTTTTTAAATATTTTTTTATTTCTAATCATTTTAAAAATAATTGATAGCACTTTTTGTGGGTTAGATATAGTAATGATCAACATTTTTCTCATACCATCTACTGTAGACAAAGAAATTTAATAATAAAAGGTATAGCAAAAGGAAATAAAGAATATAAGTTTATATATTAATTTGTCAAGATTAAATATATATAATAATAAGAGCAAATCTGTTAATAAATTAACAAAGAATAAAAACATTGAAGAAATAAATAAAACAAAAAATATAATACAAAAAATTAATTATAATCAATCTAAGCAAAATTAAAAAAAGTTATGGAATAAAGAGAAACAAATAATCAACCAAATATATAATATAAAAATATTTGAATTAGAACATAAATAAAACATTATATTTGTTTTCAAAACAAAAACATATTTTTATCTAACTTTTTTATTAACATTCAAATATCTTATATTTTCATATAAAGATGTTAGCCCTTATTACTTTAAAAATACATGATTTCTAGTAAATAATTCATTAATTTATCTAAAAGTATTAGATGTAAATAATAATCTATTAAATAATTTTTAATCTTTGATAGATTTTGATTTAAATTTAAATAATTATCTAAAAATAGTAAATTTAAATAATTTATTAAATAAAATTATTTGATAGAAAATAAATTTTATTAAGTATCTATATTTTAAACTGTCATTAAATTTAAAAAGAAAAGATAAATTATGTTTTAATAAATTTGAATTCAAATTTTATGCAAAAATTTTAATTTCAAATAGATTTGGATTTCAATTTTAATAATTATCCAAAGTATTCAATTTAAATAATTTATTAAAAAATTTATTTAATAAATAAAATAATATAAACATTATCTTATATGTCATTAAAAAAATTACTTATCTAAACATCTACACAAACAATTTTTTGCATATAATTTTATATATTGTAATATAATATATATATATATATATATATATTAGATTATCGCTTGCGAGCTGCTAATTATTATTCTTATTTTAAATTCGTAAACAAACAAATTTACATGTCAGGCATTAAAAAAAGAAAAAAGGACAAAAAGAACAACCGTATCTTAGCTGCTTAGCAGCCTCCACCTTACTACTATCTAAATCAAATTATTAACAAAATAAAATAACAAAAAAAAAAAAAGGAAATTGCGGCACCTTAAATCGCGCTAACATTAACGATAATATATATATATATATATATATATATATTCCATTCATTTTTTATGGCAAAGGAGGCAAGATTTTATGTATAAATTCAGGTGGCCAGTATCTTGGCTTCTTTACCCAAAACCCATACTAACAAAGTCAAAACGATAGTTCCCAATTTTAGACAATTTTTTAAAACCTGTTGGTAAGTTAAAAGGAGTTGCAGACATTATCTATCTAAATGTTGAAACTCCGACATCATCAGGCCGTTTGTCGACGTCAATCAAATTTTGAACCCCGTTTTTCTCGTTTTCTTTTTCCTCTCATCAATCAAACACTATCTCTAAAAAACAAAGCCCTACGTTGACGGTTAGCCCTAACTTTATTCATTCTTTTCTTCTTTGTATGGATATCAAATTTTCTGTTTTAAAATGATGTTCGACCAATTAATTAATTAAATGAAAAATGATGCATATAGATTCGGGAAAATTCATTGATTCTGTCCGGTCGTTCCTGCTGTGTGGGGATGAAATATGGGGGACATTGGCAGAAGTAGAAGAGATGAGAGGGTTGCAATCGCAAACGAGGATAATGAGTACGAGATCGAAGAGTTGAGAGAAGGAATCAAGTCATCAGCGGTTTGCCGCTGGGAGAAAGTTCAGTCGTCAATCTATAATCAGCGGATTCAAAGACCTCTCCTCCGGCCAAGCCATTCATCCTGACAACAGGTAATTCATCTCCAATTCACTGCAATCCCATATTTAGTAAATTTTTCTCCTTTTTCTTTTAAACGATAACCAAAACAAACATTGGCTTCATATAGGACACTCTTGTTTTTTTTTTTTTTTTTGAGTTTTGCGGTGATAGGAGAGGAGTCGTCGTTCCCGCTTCTGCCTTACGCGTGGCGGAATGTAATTGGGTTCAGTCTCTTCGTCACAGGTGTCCGAGCTGTCGTGCTTGCTGGTTTGGACTTTTAAAAGTTACATGAATCGGACGGCTGAAACTCAATATGCTGGCTTGATGGGGTTGTTTAACTAAAATAACATAAGGTAGATGGATGGACACTTTTTTAATTGGTGTGACAGTCAAGTGAAGATAACCGCGGCCTACGGTTTGACTGTGACGCTAAAAAATGAAAAGCTCAAAATCTTTTTTTCTTTTTTTTTTACTGTTTTAGAAGAAGAAGTGTTTAAGCTACATTTATAAAAAGAAATTAACTTGATAAGCACAATTTCCACAAGTGTCGCTTGATGCTGTTGCTTACGTGATAGTCAGACTACATGGCGATTGATGTCCTTGACAAATTGAGTAAATTCCTTGGCTACCCTTCAGAATTTTTTTTTCTCAACATTTTAGAAATCCAATTGAAATCGAATTGGTGAGAGATTATTTTTTTTTCAATTGATCCAATTCGTTGATCCAATTAAAAGATCGTGTTATTCCTTTTAAAAAAATAATAATAATAAAAGACTGTCTTATTCTTAAAAACATAATTTTTTATTTATTTTGATATTAAATGTGTATTAGATCAATAAATACTTACTAAAAACATGTACGTAAATGATACATCAATGAAAAGATAAGAGATTAAATATTCAAATTTTATTGTTTATAATAATCTTTGAATAATTAAATAATAAAATAAATATTGGAAATTGAATTCATTGCTGATCCATCCGGTGTAACTCGATTCAACCAGATGTTGATCGGTTTTGGACCATGTGCCATTCATTTGATACAAGTAACCAGATAGGCTATGAGGCTGTAACCTAGTTTATGATGGCAACTAGCAAGTTTTAATTTTTTTTTTCCTTGGGATATATTTTGATATGCTAATTATTATGAGCATTTAAAATGCCTATTCTAGCAATAACATAGATACAGATGACAATACCCGATAGATACTGAAAGGAAGTGTTTGGACTAAAAAGGAAGTTAATAAGTGATAATCAATGATGGTTAATAAAAGAGAGATACTATGTTTTTATTGTCATATATACTAATCATAAATGGTATAAAATTATAAAGTCATATTTGATGTATAAGATTATCGATAGGAATAATTATTTTATATCATGTTTGAGTTGTATTTAAAGAAAGAGATAAGAATTATAAGGAGGATTAATATTCTTTTGGCTTAGGATTAGTCAATTCTCACAAAGTAGAAAAAATTATTTTTAATCCATAAGATTAAATTTACATGTTCAAGTATACCCTTAAAAATTAATCAATAATTTAAATTATATAAATTTTGAAGAAGAATAATTTTAACAAATAAATAAATTATTTTATTTTAATATTTACATACATCAAATACAAAATAAAATGATATTATTTAATTTAATCATATTCATAATCTCATTTTATTTTATCATAATTTTATGTATCAAATATGACTTAAATGTAGTAAATAATAATTTTGTAAGTATTTGCTATGTTTTAAGAGTAGTCCAACAATTGCAAAACAAGTTTTCAGTGAAGTCTTGATTTAATGGTAATAATGTTGCGCCTGAAGCAATAATCACAACAATACAGAAGCAATAGACAACAATCAATAATCAAATGCACAGGAAAAATAAAGCACACCAAGATTTACGTGGAAAACCCTCCAGTGTAGAGGGAAAAACCACGGGCCACCAGAAAAATCTTCACTATCAAATAATAGTTATACAAAGTTCTTCTCTAGCTAAAACTAGAGCTAATCAACAACTAGAGAAACAATTGGAGAAATCTCACCAAATAAGTGACTCAACAAATACACCCTGGATTTGTTCCTAGAGAGCTTCAAACCCGATCTTCACCGTACAGAATGTATAACTCTGAATCATAAACCTCCTGACAAGGTTCCAACTCAATCGGACCACGGATCGACTTCCGTTTAACCAACTCTCCTTTCTCCTTTTTCTCTCTCTGCTTTTCCTGGTTTTTCTTCTTTCTCTGCTTGGTTGTCGACTCACACCTTAAACAACCCCACCTCTTTTTTATTAAGTAGCTAGGGCTCTGTGTAAAATAAAAGATCAAGGCCCATGGCTTTACTTGGTCCAAAACCACTTACATGGGATTGGACCCCATTTTCCTAACAATCTCCCCCTCAGTCCCATTAGAAGGAGATTCATCACCATAAGCATATTCATTTGGAACTTACCTTGGCCAGGGGAACTCATTCCGGCCAAGTTACTGCAAAGCTCAAGCTTTCCCTGGAAGTATCTTAGTCAACATATCTGCCATATTTTTATCAGTATGGACTTTCTTCAATAGCATTGCTGTTCTTTCAATCACTGAACGTAACCAATGATATCTAACATTCAATGTGCTTTGTTCTAGCATGGTACATGGTATTCTTACTCAAATCTAAAAGCACTCTGGCTATCACAAAATACCACATACTCTTTCTGATTCAACCCCAATTCAAAAAGAAAACGTTTCATCCAAGCATTTCTTTACATGCTTCAGTTGCTGCAATATACTCCAGCTTCTGTAGTTGACAAATCAACACACTTCTGCAACTTAGACTGCCAAGATACAGCTCCTCCTGCAAAAGTGAACAAATACCCTGAAGTAGATTTCCTACTATCAAGATCGCCTGCCATGTCAGCATCAGTAAACCCTTCTAGAATTGGTTGTGAAACTCCATAAGTCAAACACATTTTTGAGGTACCCCTCAAATATCTAAAAATTCATTTTACTGCTTCCCAGTGAACCTTCCCTGGATTAGAAAGAAATTTGCTCACTACACCAACTGCATGAGCAATGTCAGGCCTTGTACAAACCATAAGATACATTAAAGAACCGACTGCAGAAGAATAAAGAATACTAGACATAGCTAGTTGCTCTTCCTTAGACACTGGACAAGATTTCTTACTTAGATGAAAATGGTTGGCAAGTGAACTGCTAACTGATTTAGCATGTTGTATGTTGAATCTACCAAGCACTCGTTCAACATACTTTTCCTGTGACAACCACAGCTTTCCAGCTCTCCTATCTCGGATAATGTCCATACCAAGAATCTGCTTTGCTGGACCTAAATCCTTCATATCAAAGGACTTAGACAATTGTTCTTTCAACCTGCAAACCATACTAGCATCTTGTCTTACAATCAACATATCATCAACATATAATAATAGGATAATGAAGTTACCATTAGGGAATTGTTTAATATACACACAAGAATCTACTACTGTTCTTTTATAGCTATGACTCATCATAAAAGAATCAAACTTCTTGTACCACTGTCGCGGAGCTTGTTTCAAGCCATACAAGCTTTTCTTCAATTTGCAAACTAAGTGCTCTTTCCCTTTCACTTCAAAACCCTCAGGCTGATTCATATAAATGTCCTCCTGTAAATCACCATGCAAAAATGCAGTTTTAACATCAAGTTGCTCAAGTTCAAGATTCAAACTAGCTGTCAATCCCAGTACCACTCGAATAGAACTCATTTTTACAACTGGAGCAAAAATCTCATCAAAATCGATGCCTGGTTTCTGAGAAAAACCTTTTACTACCAATCGAGCTTTGTACCTCACTAGTTTGTCACCATCCTTTTTCAACTTGAACACCCATTTATTCTTTAATGGCCTCTTCCCTGTTGGAAGTTTAACAAGATCATAAGTACCATTCTTTCGCAATGACTCCGTCTCTTCTTTCATTGCTTTTAACCAGTGCTCTCTATCCGGAGTAGCCTGCACATCTTGAAAGCTTTCTGGCTCCCCTTCATTGGTAACTAAAATAAAATCTGAACTTGGATACCTGGTAGATGGCCTGCGCTCTCTAGTAGATCTCCTGAGCTGAGACTCTACATCACTTGATGCTGAAGGTAGCTCCCCCTGCTCAACACTCTCAGGTAGAGAGGATTGCTCCCCCTGCTCAAAACTAATAGCATCTGGCTCATCACCAACTATGGCTGGCTCATTCATATCCCCAAGTTCTGTTTCTGGCTCATTTTCACCATCTGTGGCTCTTTCCTGTGAAATCCCTGTCGGTGTTGAAACATCACACTCAACAGTAACTCATGTAGTCTTCTCATTTTTCTCAAGGTCTGCTATGGTTTCTTTTTCATGAAAGACCACATCTCTGCTTCTGACTGTCTTTCTCTTTACTGGATCCCATACCCTGTAGCCAAATTCCTCATCACCATATCTTACAAACACACACTGTGTAGCTTTACTATCAAGCTTTGATCTCTGCTCTTTCGGCACATGCATGAATGCTTTACACCCAAAAATTTTCAAGTGAGAGTATGAAGCATCTTTTCCTATCCACACTCTTTCTGGAATGTCAAAGCCCAAAGGAACTGATGGTGACCTGTTAAGTAAATAACAAGCTGTGTTGACTGCTTCACCCCAGAATGGCTTTGGTAATTTTGCCATCCTCAACATACATCTGACTTTTTCCACAATGGTGCGATTCATTCTTTCAGCTATACCATTATGCTGCGGTGTTCCAGGTTCTATCCTGTCATGCCTGATCCCATGCTTTGAGCAATACTCTTCAAAGCTTTTAGATGTGTATTCCCCACCATTATCAGTTCGAATACACTTCAAGGGTAACCCTGTCATCCTTTCAACCATGGCATGAAATTTTTGAAAATACTGCAGTACCTGACTTTTGTATTTCAACATATACACCCAAGTCTTACGTGAAGCATCATCAATAAAAGTAACAAAATATCTGCTACCACCTAATGACTCAACCTCAATGGGACCACATACGTCAGAATAAATTAATTCCAATCTATTTTCTTTTCTCCGAGAACTTTTACGAAAAGAAACTCTATGATGCTTACCAAACAAACAATAATCACATGAATCGAGAGACATACCTTTGGTCAAGGGAATGAGAGAGTGCCTTGCCAAAACCTGTAACCCTTTTTCACTCATGTGTGCCAGCCTCCTGTGCCACAAGTTTGCTGAAGCATCATTTTCAACGGTATTTACCTGGTTACCGTTCAATTGCATCCATGTCTTATACATTGTGCAGCATAGTTTTCCCCTTGCAACTACCATAGATCCTTTGAGAAGCTTCCACTGTCCATTCTTTTGTCGGCTTTCATATCCCTCCTTATCAAGGACATTAATAGCAAGCAAGTTCATTCTCATATCTGGAATGTGTCTGATATCCCTCAAAGTCAACATGCAGCCTGTACTAGTTTGTACACCAATATCACCAATCCCAACAATCTGCGACACACTCTTGTTTCCCATCTTGGTACAACCAAAGTTTCCTGCTTTGTAAGTTGTAAACAACTCTCTCTTAGGAACACAATGATATGCCGCTCCTGTGTCAACTATCCACTCAATGCCAGGATCACTAACATGATTACAATCATCATGTGTACAAATCAAAGTAACTGAATCACTATCTGAATTCACTGCTGCAATATTACCATCATCTGAACTCTTGCCTTTCTCATCTTTTCGCTCTTGCTTTAAGATTCTACAGTTTCGTTTTATATGACCCGCCTTACCACAATGGAAACACTTCACTTTACATCTAGACTTGGATCTATGTTTAGACTTACCACGGCCTTTTGAGTCCTGACCTCTGTCGATGTTTCTACCCCTGTTCTCTATGACCAGAGCTTGATTCCCAGGGTCTACATCTTTTCGCCTCGCTTCTTCATTAAGTATACTGTCCTTTACCATCTCTAATGTCACCTTATAATCAGGAGCTGAATTAAGAACAGTCACAACTAGAGTATTCCAGCTGTCTGGCAATGAACCCAAAAGAAATAATGCCTTCATTTCATCATCCATCTTAAGTTCCATAGTAGTCATCCGATTAAATATATCTTGAAAATCACTCAAGTGCTCTGTAACAGATCGTCCATCCCTGTACTGTAAAGTTGCAATTTTTTTAACAAGCATAACTTTATTCATACCTGTTTTTCTCTCATACAATGCTGCCAATTTTTCCCAAACAATGTGAGCATCTGACTCCTGCGCTACATGATGAAACACGCTGATATCAACCCATTTTCTGATTGTAGCCAGCGTCTTTCTACCTAGCTTCTTCCAGCTTTCATCTTTCATATCTGCTGGTTTAGCCGAATCACCCAATACTGGCTCATACAAATCTTTGCAGTATAGATGATCCTCCATCATAGGCTTCCAAATTGAATAATTTGATGCTGTCAATTTTATCATGGAACCTGTATCACCCTCCATGATCTCAAACAGAATTTACTTCTATCCTGAGTTGCTTCTGTATCGATGTCTCAAAATAACCCTCGCTCTGATACCACTTGTTGCGCCTGAAGTAATAATCACAACAATACAGAAGCAATAGACAACAATCAATAATCAAATGCGCAGAAAAAATAAAGCACACCAAGATTTACGTGGAAAACCCTCCAGTGTAGAGGGAAAAACCACGGGCCACCAGAAAAATCTTCACTATCAAATAATAGTTATACAAAGTTCTTCTTTAGCTAAAACTAGAGCTAATCAACAACTAGAGAAACAATTGGAGAAATCTCACCAAATAAGTGACTCAACAAATACACCTTGGATTTGTTCCTAGAGAGCTTCAAACCCGATATTCACCGTTCAGAATGTATAACTCTGAATCATAAACCTCCTGACAAGGTTCCAACTCAATCGGACCACGGATTGACTTCCGTTTAACCAACTCTCCCTTCTCCTTTTTCTCTCTCTGCTTTTCCTGGCTTTTCTTCTTTCTCTGCTTGGTTGTCGACTCACACCTTAAACAACCCCACCTCTTTTTTATTAAGTAGCTAGGGCTCTGTGTAAAATAAAAGATCAAGGCCCATGGCCTTTACTTGGTCCAAAACCACTTACATGAGACTGGACCCCATTTTCCTAACAAATAAGAGGTTTTGGAATTTTAAGATCTTAGATTCAAATTTTATTTTATGTGGATTTAGTTCAACATTATATTGAATTTGTCTAGATATGTTTTAGTTTATTGGTGGATTGTTCAATGATTTTTTATTTATGAATAATATTTAACTATGATTGTAATTTTTTTTTTTTTTTGTAATTGTAATTTCAAAAGAGTAGTGCTACAATTCTTTTTGCTTTTACAGTTGTTTTGAGTGAGTGACAGAAGATTGATGGTAAAATATAAAAATAAAATGCAGGTGGTATAGAGCATGGACCAAGTTCATACTAGTATGGGCATTGTACTCTTCCTTCTTTACTCCCTTGGAGTTTGGGTTCTTCAGGGGATTGCCAGAAAATCTGTTTATACTAGACATCGTAGGACAAGTAGCTTTCCTTTTTGACATTTCTTTTCACTTCTTCATTGCCTATAGAGACAGCCAGACCTACCGAATGGTCTACAAGCGCACCACTATCGCTATTCGGTTAGTTTTCCTTTTCTTATGTTTTTCACTTTTACGTGGGACATTTATATTTCAATTTGTGTTACATTTTACCTATTTGCTCAAGCTCGTAATCAATTAAGTATGATTTTTTTTCTTTTACAATTCACTTTTACATTAAAGCAACAAGAGACCAGGCATAAATAACATTCGAGAGAATGTTAAATATTTCTTCTTAGCATGCTACCATTTATTTAAGCTGCTTTATTATGCTTTTAGTTTATATTGTATGGCTGCAATTAATGCTAATGGATCCCAATTCTTGCTTCGCAAAGGTGTATCGATATTCTACTACTAATGTGGACATTTTGCTCTCTCCCTCCTTCTCTCTCTCTCTCTCTCTCTCTCTCTATATATATATATATATATATATATCTTAAGAATGTTCTTTAATTTTTTTCACCCTTGCATTACTACATATCACTTAATCTTGTAATGAGCCTTATGCTGGTTTCTTCCGTATTGTGTCATTGCAGATACTTGAAATCTAGTTTTATCATTGATTTACTTATATATATATATATATATATATATATATCTTTAGAATGTTCTTTAATTTTTTTTCGCCCTTGCATTACTACATATCACTTAATCTTGTAATGAGCCTTATGCTGGTTTTCTTCCGTATTGTGTCATTGCAGGTACTTGAAATCTAGTTTTATCATTGATTTACTTGGTTGCCTGCCTTGGGATATTATCTACAAGGTATTGTTTTCTTCCTCCACCCATGCCCCCACCTCCTCTTTAGGTTTTATTTTTATTTTTATTATTTTTGTAAATTTGATAATAACATCTCATTGAGTAAAGAAGAACTTGTGGGGTCTTACCATTCTTTGTGTACGCATGTTCTTCCCAAAATTATGGATGTATATGTGGCAATTTTATGCTTTTTGTGTATATGTGTATCCCAAAACTATATTTTAGAAAATATAAGCTTTTTGTGTTCTTATGTTCCTAGATCAATAAAATGTTTGTTATGATTACATTTTCGTTGGGAATATTGTCTATTATCACAATGGTCAAATTAGGAAAGCTGTAGTAATAAATCAAATTATATTTCACCTATATAAAAAGGTCCTGATCCTGATATTTGGCCCCTCAAACACTCCACAACCTCCCATTCTTTTGTACCCTTACGGTTTTTCCTTTTGTCATTTTCTAAAATTAGTTTGTTTTATCCTTGTGCAGCATATTAGTTAGACACAGAACTTAACCTTACGCGAATCATTTGTTTGTGCATGGTGATACAGTTTGTTAATATATATGCCTAGCTAAAGTTTTAAACTAGATCATGTTGTTGTTTCCTAAAGACAATCCATCTTAGACAGTTAAAATATACCATGCATGTGATCTTTACAAAAAAGGAAAACAAGGATATGACAGAATCTGCATGGATTAAATGATTACTTCAAGCCGTAAATTTATAGTTGTAGCATTTTAATGACCATTTGAGAAATTTCTTTCAAGCAGGCATGTGGAAGAAAAGAAGAAGTGAGGTATCTCTTATGGATTAGGTTATATCGGGTTCACAAAGTCACAGATTTTTTCCAGAAGATGGAGAAGGATATACGAATTAATTACCTTTTTACAAGGATTATAAAACTTATTTTTGTTGAACTCTATTGCACACATACAGCAGCTTGTATCTTTTACTATTTGGCTACCACACTGCCTCCTGAAAAAGAGGGGTACACATGGATTGGAAGCTTAAAGTTGGGAGATTATAGTTATGCACGCTTCAGAGAAATTGATCTGTGGAAGCGGTACACAACTTCCATGTATTTTGCTATTGTCACGATGGCTACTGTTGGTAAGTAACCTGTTTAAATTACTTTATCCTGTATATTACTGAAATGATTTATATATATATATATATATATATTCTTTTATTTCCTAAGTAATTTTATGTTTCTATGTCTGGGAACTAAGCAGATAATTGTAACTTATAAGAAAAATTGAAGGAATGTTTGTCCAAATGAAAATAGCTTTAATTCATCTTTTGTAAATTGTATATTTTGTTGGATGTTCCTGAGGGATTTATAAATTTTACATTTCTTGAATAGGATGTTTATTTGCTACAATTAAATATTGCATAAAGAGTTAAACATTAGCGCAAGCTCTTATGGTATAAGTGATACCATATTATATCTCCTCCTGCCTTTCCTCAATTAATCAATTAGTATGAAAGGTATATATATTCGTTTTGAATTTAAACATTTGATGATCACAAGGAAAAAAAGAAATCTGGTAGATGAGCATTAAATTTATGCTCTAAATCAGTGTGTTTAAAGATAGGGTTTGCAGACTTTCCATAAGTGGCTGAAGGTCCAATATAGTAGTGACTTAATTATAGCATTTGGATTTTTGATGGCATAGGAGAGAACTAATGATGAAGAATTGGTATGTAATGTATATCATCTTATTAGCTCTAACGATATATGGTTTCCTTTTTGTTTTTTTTTTTTTGTTGGTAGAAATTGAAAGAATCTAGCGACGCACAGTTTTGAGAAATAACAGCCAGCTTCTCAATGGGGCACTTTGTCAAACTTAGGGAATCAGTCAAAAAAAATTTGATTGACTGTGTTCTTTTAGTTTCTGTGTTACAAGTAAGGTGTTGGTTTTTCTTTTGACTGGAGTTTTCTTTTTGGTGAGCTGCAGTTGTATATTTTTAGCATTGTTTTTTGATGTAGCAGGCTTGTCCTACCAAGTCCTACCAAGGTGGACAAATAAAAATTTTTAGCTTATCCAAAAAAATAAATAAATAAATAAAGATAGCTAGCTTCTCTTAAGGAATTGGCATTGTCTTTATAATCTACTGAAAGCAAAACATCTTTTGCATTGATCTTCTGATAAATGGTATTTGGATGTTTTGCTTCAATTATCTATGTATAGGATGGTGGGAAATGGAGCTTTGCAGGTTACATACTGTAAATGATCATACTGATCGGCTGCTAGCGAATATCATGAAATTCATTATTACTTCTTTTTTTTTTTTTCACTTGACTCAATAAATAATTCAAATCTCCACGAGTCTCATCTCAATATCATCCTCATCTTCTCAATTTACATATACTGTTTTCTTTCATGCATTTACTCATAAAGCGATTGTGAATATCTGAGAACATTGTTCAAGAAGAGCCAAAAACTGAATAAAGACCTTTGTTCTTGCTGCATGGCAAAGATAGTATACATTTGTTGTGAAGTTTTGTGTTTCCAAATTCTCAGTAATATTTAATTTCATAAGAAGAAAAAGATAAATTCTTCTTCATGGTAATGAAACAAGAAAAAAAGTTAGGTGATGTTATAGTGATCAGGGTATGAAAGACAATTGTCTCTTTTTGTAGTCATCTTATTGGAATTATCTGGTGGTGCAAAAAGTGTATGGATTTGCTGCTAGGTCTTTAAGGAGCAGTTTTCTTTCTTTCATTTGCTGTTGACACTTTAATTCCATGGGGAGACTGTTCAAAGTACAAGAAAATACTTCAAAGGAATTTATAGAAGTTTTGGACTTTTTCTTTTACCCTTAATTAGAATAGCTTTGGTTATGTTGCAGACATGGAAGAATACTTTTATCTTGATTTAATTGAGATTGATGGAGTAATGATATAACTACTTATGTGCTGTGATTGCCTTCCTTTGCTTTATCATGTTTAAGGTGATTGTTCTCCAGAAATTATATATGTGATTTCTAATTATTCATAATTTTCCATATACTCTGTTTATTTATCTTCACCAAAATTGCTACAGTTCCACATTTTTATGGTTGCAGCATATATTTTTTTAGTGTGGTTTTAAGTCCATTCTGAATTAGTCTGCTCTTTTGTGACAGGTTATGGAGATATACATGCAGTCAATATGAGGGAAATGATATTCATAATGATGTATGTCTCCTTTGACATGATTCTTGGTGCTTATTTGATTGGTAACATGACAGCCTTAATTGTAAAAGGATCCAAGACTGAGAAGTTCAGGGATAAAATGGCAGATGTTATTAAGTATATGAATAGAAATAGACTTGACAGGGATATCTGCAATCAGATCAAAGGCCACTTGCGCTTACAATATGAAAGCCATTACACTGAGGCTGCCGTTCTTCAGTATATTCCCATCTCTATCCGAGCTAAGGTAATGCATAAATAGTTTGCAGTTAACTGTTTCTTTTGTTAATTCTATTAGCATAAATACCACTTTAAATGGAAACAAAATAAGGAGAAGAAAAAATCAATTTAAATGAAGAAAATTCCAATGTTCCAATCTTGGACAGCCTTCTATTAAGAAAGGAAAAATGTCCTCTGATATCCAGAAGAATTCCCACAACACTTTTACAAAAAAAAAAAATCTGTCCATTGATTTCCATTCCTGCCTACTTGTGCACTGAGATTAAGGAGGAAGAGACCCATGACCTAATGTGGTGATCATGTTTGAAAGAGCTTGGGCTACTCCAAAATCCTTACTACTGTTGGTAGGAGTGTTGCGCTCCAGAAGGCTAAAAAGAGCTGTAGGTGCTTAAACCATGGTGATATTCTTGAGTCAGACGCTCATTAATGAGATCAATATAACCTCCTTCACATCAATTAAGGAATCATAAAACATATTCTAGCAATTCTCTCTAACATCTCATCTTAATAATTTGTAAGAATATAAGCTGACAAAAAACCATCTCTCCTTTATCAGATTAAGATATATAGAAAGTAGCATATATCATATATTGGATCTCAAATGAAGCACCTACCAAAACTTTTTCATGGTAAATGACTTGTTTTGCTAATAATAAATTAGGTTAAAACTGTTTCAATGCTAAATTAGTTACCTACTCTTCTATATTAATATTGGTTTTTGAAGTATTAGATCAATCATAGTTCTGATGTTTCAATCACAAACTAACTTCATGTTTTACTTGTGAGGGAAATATTGTTATGTTGATGTACTATTTCAATCATTATGATTTCGATAATGTCTTTCTACTTTTGAAAAGATATTAGTCTCACAACCATATCTCTTTCTGGATGTTTTCTCCATTGGTATTTTTCCTAGTGCTCAATATGTTTCTTGTTGATTCTTTTACTTCAATGCTTCCTATTCTGTTTCTGTTTTTGCAGATTTCTCAATCTTTATATATGACATACATTAAAAATGTTTCTCTCTTCAAGGAATGCTCTTCAGAATTTATTGATCAGATTGTAAGTAAGTTTCTTTTCCCAAATAATGGATGGCAAGTTGCTTAAATGAGAAATTTCTATTGTCGCTTCCCAATTTGGTAACACATGGTTCAAATGTGCAGCACAAAGGTCATTTGTGCTCGGTTGTGTTCAAGTTAATTTACAACATGTTTCATCTAAATGAGATGTCTAGTTGACATGCTTCAACATGTCTGTATGCTAATATGATATGAAATGCTGGGCCCCGAAAAATGCTGCCACATATGGCTAATAATGCCTGCCTGCCTGCCTGCATGTCTTTCTTCAGATAATAACTTTTCACTGCTTTTAGATATAGTATCAGCGTCCAACATCAGGCGCACTGTTCCAAAAGCTTCTTTGAAACAGCATGATCTATAATTTTTTCCTAAGTAAATTGATCTCTTGAAATAAAATTTTTTTTAATATCACAAGAATATTATCAGATATTTCCGTGTGTAGATCTATCCACACTGCACGGCAACAACTACACAAAAAAGGAGAAAAAGAAAGAAATAACTGTTAGTTATAAAGTTAATATTTGGTTCTTTTGATCTCGCAGGTTATTAGACTCCATGAAGAATTTTTTCTCCCAGGAGAAGTAATAATGGAACAGGGAAATGTGGTAGATCAGCTTTATTTTGTCTGTCATGGTGTGCTGGTATTATTCCTTATGCCTTTATTATGTAGTTAATCAAATTCATTTCGTTAATTACATGCTTTTATTTCTTATTACCCTACTTGTACCTTTTCCCAGATATCTCCTAGGCTTTTCTTTGTTTTTTATTCTCTAAGCATGAAAATATATTTGCTTGTTGCTGATCATGCATTTGTTAACCTGAATATGCTGCTCTTTGTCCACTTTGGTGTTTACCACTTGGAATTGGCTTTCAAATATTTTCCATGCCACAGAAAATAACAAATGTGCTTAATCATATCCCTGTGGTTGTAAATGTCACTGCTCAATACCTTGTTATACCCTTTTTATATAGCAGTCCATAGACTTTTCTTGAATTGTGATCTCAATGTTCTCATAAATTGATTAATTGGTGATTAACCCAAGCTATCTTTGTAAAGGAGGAGGTTGCTATAGGGGAAGATGGATCAGAGGAGACTGTTTCGCTTCTGCAACCCAACAGCTCATTTGGGGAAATTTCTATTCTCTGCAATATCCCTCAGCCTTATACTGTTCGGGTTTGTGAATTATGTAGGCTTCTACGACTGGATAAGCAATCATTTTCAAATATCGTAGAGATATATTTCTATGATGGAAGGAAAATTTTGAACAATCTTTGGGAGGTAATCTTGTTACCTCATATCTCTATTGCATCAAATGTTTTTCTGCTCCTCTTATTCATGGCTTTATCTGAGAAAAGTGTATACAGGCTGGGTATATCATCGTTTGATTGGAAAGTCATTTCAATATAGATTAGACAGAAGTTGACTAACACATTTTCGGACTGGCATTTACCAAAATTCGCAGGGAAAAGAATCCAATCTTCGAGTTAAGCAACTGGAATCAGACATCTCATTTCACATCGGAATGCAAGAAGCTGAACTAGCTTTGAGGGTGAATTGTGCTGCATATCATGGAGATTTGTATCAGCTCAAAAGCTTGATCCGAGCTGGTGCAGATCCTAACAAAATGGATTATGATGGAAGATCGTCCTTGGTGAGTAGTATGTAAACTGAAGCTTTTAGGTTGGTCTTCAAATAAGTCCTATTCTTGATGGGATATCCAGATCATGCATAGAAGCACCTATCTGTTGCTGACATGTTTGTTATTGTTGTTTTATGCTAAAATAGATTCTTAACTCCAAATAATTATTATAAACTTTTTTTTTTTTTTGGCATTAAGCTATGAGATTATCAGTTTTGCAATGATTGTTTTCTTCTATGCCAAATCATGATTGTGGTAAATAAGTTGAACAGTCTATTACATGTGCAGTGACTATAACTATAGGTTTTTGCACTTTATTTGATACATTGTTTTCTTTTATCCCATTCTTTGTTTTCCAAAGAAATTTTGTGGTTGTATAATCAAGATTAAAACAAATGGAAACATGGTAAAACCATAAAAGCATCGGAGTAGTTAACATTTCTTACAATATTAAATTCCCAAATTTTTCTTAATTTTAGTACGTTATGTTTGCTACTTCTGACAATTACTAAAAATTAGTTCCTTGTTACGAAACGATACACATCCATTGATTTCTCCCACATCCTATACTTAGCAATCCTGAAGATGGTTTGGTCCATTCGTACTTGCCATAAAAACCTCAAGAACTCCTGGTTACATGTCTGTTTATTTGGGAATTTAAACCCCTTAAATTGTGGTTAGTCAAATCCATCAGTCAAACACTAGCTGTTCTAATTATGCAACAAAGAGTTTCCACGTTGCTTTTAAATTCAATGCTGTTAGTCCCAAGTGAGGGTGTGTTCCTATTCATTTTCAGATGTATGAAATCTTTGAGTTCTGCCTAAATGTGGTAAACATATGGTAAGAAAGAGATTTAAGAACCTCATGTTTAGTACATGCATGACCAGATACAGAATTAGCTAGAGAGCATGAACTTTCACTGAAATATTGTGGCATTTAATCTCAATGTTAAGTTAGGATTGCATGGGTAGATGCTCATGCACAATTCATGTTTTAGAGATGTTCTTTTTCAGCTCATTACCAATTACTGTATCATTCGTCCACTGTGATAAAGCATGCTGTAAAACATAAGTTTTAGATTAATTTGTTTAACACTTGATGGTTTATTGAGTAATTATGAGGGTTCTTATAAGGATATGGGAGCCTGTGATCCATGAGTGAGTAATCCAAGTAACTAAGGAAAAGTGAATATAGTTAGTAGTATAAACCAGAGGAACATTAATACAACTTACAGGATATTATGGTAAACTATAATAGTTCACCTACTATATGCTTTGAAGAGTTGTCATATGATCAAATGGAGTCTAATAGCTTTTCTCTTTTTGCTCACATCTCTGTCTTGTCTCTGTCTTCCTTTTTGACAAGAGCATGCTGTAAAAACTAACTTTAAGTCAAGTTGTTTAACGCTTTGTAAAATGCAGAGCTCTATAGGTATGGAATACAAAGTGAATTTAGATAGTAATATAATGAAATCTAAATCCCGGCATCTTTATGTAACTAACCAGAAAAATCCTACCAGTCCATCGAATATTATAGTGAATTATGTGGTTTTCCTTTATATTCTTTGAGCATTTGTTCCATATGCCAATGCAGCCTTCTAGCTATCTATTTCATCTGCATATATGTGCTGTGTCTTTCAATTGTTTAAAAAACAGCATGCTGCAAAAAGAAGAAAAAAAAAGTGTATAGACAGTTTTTTTGCCTTTGGTAATTTGTATTGCTCTTTAACCACACTATAGAAAGGAGGAGGGGGGAGAAAGAAAGCTCTTATCTAAAACCAAATGTTTATTTTGAATAGCATCTTGCTGCATCAAAAGGCCATGATGATATTACAAGTTTCCTTATTCAACATGGGGTAGACATCAATCTTAAAGGTAATTTATCTTTTATAAATATTTTAAAGTATTATATTGGTTAGTTAAACTCTAGTCCTTTACCATTTGATCTTCCTTTGTGCTAATAAATTAAATTTTCTTTAGATAAGTTCGGGAATACACCCTTACTAGAAGCAATAAAAAATGGACATGATCATCTTGCTGCTTTGCTAGTTAAAGAAGGAGCTTCCTTAAACATAGATTATGCTGGTACTTTTCTATGTACAGCTGTTGCAAAGGGGGACTCAGACTTTTTGAAAAGGGTTTTGTCTAATGGAATTGACCCTAACTCCAGAGATTATGACCATCGAACCCCACTTCATGTAGCTGCCTCTGAGGGCTTATATTTGATGGCAAAGCTTTTGATAGAGGCGGGGGCTAGTGTTTTTACCAAAGATAGGTACATTTAAGACATTCGTTTTGCTTGCTTTTTTGTGAATGTGATCATGTTTAGCTTATCCATTTGAGGTTAGTTGCTTGTAGCTATGCTGTCTGGTGCCTAACTGGATTTGATTAACAGTTAAATATATCATCATATGAGCTTTGTTGCAGCGTATACATGCTGTTTGAAAGATCTAGTAGAGGACACCCGGTCATATCTTCATAGATAATTGTAAACTATCACATTTTGGTAACGCTTTCCTGTTTTCATGGTTTTTATTGCACTTTTTGTTTGATTGTTTATATTTGTTTATAATTTAATCATATCTTATTTTTTTCTGTTAGTTTTTTTCAAATTATTTTTGTTGATTATTATATTTGCATATAACATACCTCTTAGATTAGGCACATAAAATGCCTAGTGTATGTATAATTTTCTACAATACTAATCACCAGATGGTTTTACCATGCAGTATGCAAGTATTTTGTCTGTTAAAAACTTCAGATATATCCAATTCCTTAATTTTAGTGGAGTTGTCTCTTTTCTAAGGAAAACTGAAAATGTTATTTTCACTGTTATTTTCTATCTACTTTTGTTTTTATGCCTGATTCTTATCTTCCTCCAAGGTCTTTAGAGGTTACAGACAAACATATGCATATTACTTCAATATCTTTAGTTTTTTCAACAATTGTGCTTTTCTCTGCAGATGGGGAAACACTCCCCTTGACGAAGGCCGGATGTGCGGCAACAAAAATTTGATCAAGCTACTGGAAGATGCAAAATCTATTCAGTTATCAGAATTCCCTTACCGTTCGAAAGGAATTACAGGTACTGCTGAACCTCTGTGAAACTAGAAATTATTTGAAAAATGAAGTAAAGGGCACAACATGCAGCAGAACAACTTTATTTCACTGAAAGGACTTGTAAAAGAAAAATCCAAAAATTAACAAAGATAATTCACAAGAATAGTTTTGATTTTGGAATGGAAGAATGCTTTTGTCTTGACCAATGTCATTTACTGATCATTGCTTGTCACAACAATGAAATATTGTGTGTTTTGGCAGAAAGTTAGCAAAAGAAGTTTAAACCTATTTGAAATTAATTGTCCTTTATTTTAACCTTTCTTGGCCATTGTAAACTAAGCAAGTCAAGAATTGTCCCACTTGGTTAATATTTTAACTAGAAGTAGAACCGAATTTAAAGACAAGATGGAAATATTCTTACTAAAATTCCAACAGAGCTTTACTGGGTGCCTGGTTCAGATCCATGAGGAAGCTTTAGTTGAATGTATAACATGGAAATACTATTAAACCTTAGAGGGAAAAAGATCAGGACTGAGATAATTCTACTTATGCTCCCTTCCTTTTCTTTACATTTATATGGTAGCCTTGCTTTCATTGTGTGCATGCAATTTTACCTTTTATTTTCTTCAATGGTAAAGCTTGTTTTATTTTGTACCTAAAGCTTAACTAAGTTGGTTGATGCAGCCACCCTTAACAGGTGGCATCCAATAAGTTTGAGGTTCAAATCTCAACATCTATAACCCTTTTTTCTATCTTAAGCTACAACTGCCCTTGTACCAAAAGCAGCTGTTTTTTTTCGGTTTTAGTAAAGAAGTTGGCTCTACCAGCTGTTACTATTTGAGCATCAAGATTGCACCAAAAACCTGGTTATCTGTTTCTATTTCCAGATTATAAAAGATTTGTCTTGATCATCCCTATTTACTGGTTAAAAGAAATCAAATGGCTGCTCAAGTAATCCCATGTCTATGTGAGTGGGTGCTAATGAGAGAAGTTCTATTGCTAATTCCAGATAAAATGCACCCAAAGAAATGTACGGTTTTTCCTTTCCACCCATGGGATGGTAAAGAGCAGAGAAGACATGGTATTGTGCTATGGATCCCTAACACCATTGAAGAGCTTGTTAAAACTGCTGCTGAGCAGCTAGAGTTTCCAGATGGTTGTTTTATATTGTCAGAAGATGCAGGTAATATTCTTGATGTAGACATGATTAATGATGGACAAAAGCTGTATTTGATCGGTGAAACACTTTAGTTTGTGACGTATGGTTATTGTAAAACAATAATGTTGCTGCTTTGTTGTTGTGTACGTGATTTAGCCGTTAGCAATTAGCAAAGGTGTTGCACCTCTGCATTTATGTTTAACAATGCGGGTGCTATAGTTCTAAATATCCAAGAGGTTTAGCCATTGCTACCACTACTTGTTGGGAATCTATATACCTAATTTCAACTAAGTCTGTGATTCTTTGCAGAACTACTGTGCCACGTCATCTTTTTTTTTTGGAATTAAACTCCTAATTGAAAGATATTTTTGCGTTTTAATTTTACTGTTTATTAAGCCTTAATGGCTAATTGAATTACGACTGTTTTGACAGAGAACTAAATCTAAGATGTACCATTTCTTCCTTCTCTATTTTTCTTACTTCCTTTACCTTACACACCTTAAATCTCCTTTACCCGCTAGCTACCACCAAATTTAGAGGGACTTAATCTCAGAAAATAAAAACTATCCAAATTGCTCTGTAAACATTAAATATAACCAAAAAAACACAAAAAATCGAGATTAAGAAACAAGCACTTTCTACAAAATTTAAAGCTTAAACTAATAAACTAAAAAAAAAAAAACAAAAAATTAGGCCCATTTATCTTGAGCTCAAACATTCAATTCTTAAAATCATTGCAAACATTCACTACAAGAAAAATGACTTTTAGCGGTTACTAAAATTGTGACAAGAAAAAAGTATTCCGTTGCTAAAAATTTTTTTGTCAATAATAATTCACCCATTAGTGATGGAATTTTGGGTTGCTCATACCATAATTTCATTGCTAAAAAAAATTTCTAATTTAAATAAAAATGAAGAAATTAAAAAAAATATTCTGTTGCTAAAAGATAAACAACAGAAATTTTGTCTCTAATAATTATTATTTTAACAATTTAAAAAAGATTTACAAATTCATCACTAAAACATATTAGCTACGAAAATTTTGTCACTAAAAGCACACAAAACTTGGCTTACATTTTAGCAACAAAATTTTCATTGTCACAAGGTAGACTTCCATCGCTAAAGTTTAGTAATTTTTGCCATATTTTGAGGATGGATCCTTGTTGATTAAAGATTGATCTCTATTCTTAGAGGATTGATCCTTTTTTATTTTAAGTCAATTTTTCAGTTCAAACCTTATAAAAATTATCACATAAATCTTAATACAATTATATAATGTCATAATTCAACATTCAATTTATAGAAGATATCAATTCTTTTGCATAGAATATAATAAATACTAAATATAATATTATATAATAATAAAATATACAACTTAGAGATCAATAATTCAAGCTACTTGTATAATGGATTCAAAGGTATCACACATATATAAAATGCAAAGGTATATTATTTACAAGAAATTTGATGGAAAGAGATCCTAAAAGGTTAAAATAAAATTGTTATCTTTATAGGTGAGATGGTGATCAAAGAGAGAGGTGAATTGGATTTCTCCAAATTCTTTCCAAACAAATAATTTCAATATAATTGAATGGAAATTAAAACAATAAGCATTTTTTATGAAAATATAATGCTAACAATAACAATTAATGAACCTAAAATCAAATATAAACAACAATAAATTATATGGAGATAGGGATAGAGAGATCAAACACAATAATTTATAGATGTTCAGTCCTTCTGCACAAGACACCTACGTCCTCTTTCTTAGTTGTCTACACCAAGGCTTCAATCCACTAATTGAAGAAAAATTCTTACAAGATAGAAACCTATCTTATACTAAATCTCAATCTTTTCTCAATGCTTAGATAGCAACCTCTACCCTTTACAATATCAAAAGGATACCTCACATCTTGTTCTCTTCCACCCTTGTATATCAAAGGTAATTTTGTAAACAATAGAACAACCTCTCTAAGTCTAAGTGTTTGCTAAGTTTAAGTACAAGAAAATGATGAATTAACAACAAATATAATTTGGATACAATAAATACAAAGATATGGACTTTGAAGCTCTAAAAACTCTTGATTCTTTGAAAGAATAAAATATTGGCTTGTTGGCTCTTGCTCTATTTTTTTCATCAATCTTCTTGGTGTGTTGGAATGCCCAATTTATGAGAAATTGAAGGAGTAGCCATTAGGGATGCTTGGAGAAGAAAATAGTTGTTGAAAGCATGAAAAAATAGTTGTTGGTGTGATTTTGCCAACCCGATCGATCTCTTCCTTGAGGGGATCGATTGGTTTCAAGTTTTATGCATGCATGCTTAAAAAACATGACCTGATCGATCCTTCCATAAGGGGATCGATCCTGTAAATGGTGGGTGGTTGTTTCTATTTTACACTCTATTCACTAATTTAATTATATCTTGAGTTATTAAATTCAAATCACAAAACGTTTGAAGATTTAGAAACTGCACTTAAAGGATTTTCTATCCATATAAAATTCATCACCTAATTCATTGAGTACCAATTATAGTAAATTTTCAAAGTTACCCTTTATGTAGTTTTTTTTTTTACAGCCGCAGAGTGTCTAATAAAAAATCAAAATCTTTTCTTAAAAAATTTGGATTTTGATTTTGTTTGATCATTAGAAGTAGACTCAAGGAGCTTCCACCATATAAAATTCAAATATTAAAACTTTGTGAATTAATATAGAAGAATAAAATGAGTTCAATGTTGAAAAATTTTGTTCTTATAAAACAGCTTTCTTAAATTAATCTATTTATCAAAACCAATATTATTTAAATTGTATTAAGTCCAAAATGAATAAGTTCACTTTAAAAACAACAATTGGACTTTCATTTAAGCTCAAATAAATAATCTTTAAAGATAGATTTGGTTTGAGAAATATGAAAACAAAGAAATGTTTGTTTATAGTTTGAAAAACATATTATTTATTTAATACTAAAGTATAAAACTTAAGAACATGTACTAAATAAATCTTTTTTAAAATCTTAATCAAGCTTATTTAGCTTAATGTTTTGTCATTTCAAAATAAGAATCAATTCAAGGCTAACAAAAATATTCCAATCAACTCATTCTAACCTTTTTATTCTTTACAAAAACTTACAAACTAATTTCACTAGCTAGCTAACTTGCAAAAAGAAACCTATCAAGTGAACCAACCCATCATCATTAACCTGCGTTGATAGCATTACAAATGCAGGGCAGTGTGAAACCATGAAAACAATCATAAACTAAAATAGAAAAATAGAAAAATATAAATACGATTGGGGGAAGTTAAAGGAATATACACTATCTAAAACTAGAAGAATGTAAGTGTGAAGAAGAATATAAACTTGAAATCTACAAATTTTATGTAAATTTCACAATTCCCGCAATAATTCCACCCCAAATTTATAAAATCAACAACAATTACACATTCACATCTTTCAAATTAACAAATTATATCAAATTCACAACTTCAAATCCACAAAGTCCAACACTTTCACAACTTAAAAGCTACAAAATTCATGCAAAAAGCTACAAAATTCATGCAAAATTCACAGTTCTGACAATAATTCCAAACCAATTTCATAAATACAACAACCATTATACATTCACAACTTGAAACAACCCTAATTGTCATCTAATTATGAGAAATTAAAATTAAGTAGTATAGAAATTTACTAAATTGTTATTGACCTCGTAAAGAAGATCTTATATATTGATAAAACCTAAAAAATAATAATAAAATAATTAATAAAAATTATTAAAATATAATATAGATATTATAATAATACTACCAAAATAACATTAAAAAAATACTAACCAATATACTAAAATTTAAAATAATACAGAATACAAAAAGGAAAAAACCTAATATATATAAAAAAAAAAAAACCCAAATCTCAATCCTAAGGTTTTTTAATAGAAAAAATTAAAGGGTTTGTTTCTAGTGAAGAAGGAAAGGATAAGGGAAGATAAAAGGATAAGAAACGAAGGAGAATGAGATAAGAGAAAGGAGAAAATGAATACTATAGCTAAAAATTCTCTAAATTATTTTTTTTAATTTTAAAATAATTAAACTTTATTTTCCTTCTTAACAGGTATTAGCGAAGGAATTTCATCATTATTCCCTTGCCTAATGACCCTAATTTCATCATTAATACTTTTTAAACCAATTTTTAAATAAAAAAGTGTTTAAAAATTATTACACCTTTTAAGGGAGTATTAGTGATGGAATTTTTATTGTTAATTCTATCACTAATAACAATTCGATCCGATCCATTAGTTTGTAGAGCTATTTACTCGATTGTAAACATTTTTGGAATACCTTTAACATAGGAACAAATAATCAATTTTGAAAGAACTTATTGCCAACCTCTTTCAAATGTGAATCTATTTGATTTAGAAGAGAAGAACTTGCACCACTATCTCAATTTCAATTTAAACATAGGTTTAATTCACACTCCATGTTCTGAGAAAGATTTACCATCCGAAAAGTGAAAAAAACAAAAAAAATCGAGTCTTTGTCTAAAGAAAAAAGGGTGGATGTATAGAAGAGACAGTGCTTTTTCAATTCTCTCAAAATGGAAGCTATTACAAACATATTTGCCATGGTTCTTTACTTTGACAGGGTACAAATATCTAACTTTTCTATTTTTAGATACTTTTGAAGACGTATTGTCGATACTAAGTAGCAGTAAATTTGTATCCCGTTTTCATGATATTATGGATGAATTATATATATCATGGCGAATTCTTCAGAAAAAATTGTGTCTTCCACAAAGGAATCTGATAAGTGAGATTTCGAGTAAGTGTTTACATAATTTTCTTCTGAAATAAAAACTACAAAAATAATTTTATTTTTCTTAAAATAAAATGGTTTTAGAGAAATAGCGGTAAAAAATTGTCATTAATATAAAATAAAAATTTACAAAAAGAAAATTATTATACTTAGTACAAAAAGTGGTTTAAGCGTATTAGTGAGGGAATTTTCATTGCTAATTCTTAGCTTATTTTAGTTCATTCTAGAATTTTGGCATGCTCTAATTACTGAAATGGAATGTAATTTCCATCAGTAATTTGATTTT